ATACTCCAAGGTTTTACAATTTTTCTCCAATTAATGTCAGTCTATGATAAATATCAATGTGAAGTCAATAAAATAAGTCCTCAATAACCTTTAAAGTAGAGTATTTTCACCAAGTTTTACTTGGAAAACATTAACCAATCAGGAGTCTATCTGTTCATCCTATCAAAATCATACTAGTCAGTACTGACTAAAATTTGGTCACTTCTGTCAACATTTAATAGTTTTCCTCTTTGTTTTTTTTTCTCTCTCTCTCTCAATATTTATGAATAGATTCTATTCAGTTGTTTAATATGGTATGTATTCAGTGATTCACTGATTACAAGGTATATTATATATAATAAATCACAATAATATTTTATGCTAATTAATATACAGTAGGTTATGTTTGTTGATTTATACAGTTTTATTATGAATTATTATTAATTCGATGAATAAAAAATTCAGTTTTAAAAAGATTTACAATGTTAAAGTAAATATCTGGCAATAGTATTAGTGTTTCTGTTGACGTTTAAGTCAAATATCCATTGTTTATAAGGTCTCCCATTTTCGGGACACACACACAACAGGTACTGACAGACAGACAGACAGACAGACATGCAGATATACAGACATACACAAGCACGCATATAGACACACAGACAGATGGACATACAGACTGATGGAGAGACACTCAGACACAGGAATAGACAGAGTAGCATTCAATAGAATCATTTACTAATTGGTGTGAATTGTTTGGCTTTTACCATGTTTGAATAATTATTGACTATTGAATGTATGGTTTAATATTATGACATTTCACCTAGACACTTTCTGAATAAGTAACTTTTATCTATCGGTAATCATGTTTATTATTTGTTCCTTGGGTTCCTAATGGGAAATACGGCTTCAGTAACACGTCTTCAATGCGCTCTCTCCTCTGAAATCTTTTGAATCTGGCTCCACGACACCACACAACCTCTCATTACCTCCTCGCACGATCTCCTCCATGTCACCTTCACTACGGACGACCAACTCGTCGCTTCCCATCTCGATTTCACTCGAGACACTGGCCTTCTCAGTGTATGCCTAATCCATTTCCACTTCCTTCTACTGCATATTTTTCAGCGATAGTACCTTGCTTCGTTGGTTAGTCACCAACTAGCCACAGTTCCTTGTTGCTTATTCTTTCTGGCCATCTCATCTGAGCTTCAGTAATGAGCTAGCGTAGGCAGTTGTTGATGAATATCTATAGTTTGTTGGAAATACCTTTAGTAACGCGCCAAGTCTCTGAGCCATACAGAAGCACTGAATTGACTGGGTTGGTGTTGAAAATCCGCTTTCTCCCGTTGATAGTGATTGGAGCTTGTTGTTGTTGGTTGGGTATCATCATCACTTCTGTCTTCTCTATATTCACTTGAAGTCCCGTTTTCGCTACCCTGCCTTGCCTCTTCTGTCAACTTGTTACTTTTCGCCTGTAGATCTTGTGTGAAATTAGACACAAGTCATAACTGGCGAAATCCAAATCTTCTAGGATCTATTCGCCGGTCCAACCCTAACATGTGACTGTTTGTAATTGTGTGCATAGCCATAGCTGAGCTTTTATCTAGATTTCTTATCATATTAGGATCTATTAATCTTGATTTAACTAAATTTTTGTATTCTGCTATTCTAATCAACTAATTTTACCTCGCAATCATTCCAAGGGATTCAGTAAACCAGATTATTTTGTTTGTTTTTAAACGAGTTTGTAGGTTTAAGTGCCTCTGTAATCCCAGACAACCTTATTAAGAATATATCGTAGCGCTATTGAGCTGCCTTCTTCGTATAGTAATAATCTTGAGGGTTTGAATTCACTCTCAACCCTGTCACCATCATTACTATTTGTGATAGGATTATTATTAATATCACCTGTGTTAACACTGCTAATAGTCTCCCTTCGATTACTTATAAATTTAGGTGGGTAATTATTGATGTGTCTGATTTCTTCTCACAGATTACCTAGCCTACTTAGTTAGCTTTCTTGGCCTATCACTTAGGCATTTAACTAAGCCTACCTAGACTGAGGTGGAGTGAAATGATTTGAAGTCTGAGTAATGATTCGAATGGGTAGGTTTTCGATAGACAACATTAATCTCTAAACTTCTATCTTGTTTTATCTTGCAATTCAACAGTTGCTAGCTCAACTTCATCACTTTCTAAATCATTAGGTAATTTGGATTACAATCACTTCTGAATTGAGTTATATGTACCAAGAACTTATTGATATGTTCCCATTTCATTATTGTAATCGTATCATCTACATATAGGAACTATATCTTTGGAGTAGGGCGGAATATTTCAAGAGCCATCTATAAATATTTATACTCGGGGGATGATTGAAGGGGTTAAATGAAAATCTGTCAGTCACTCCTACTCGGTTATCTCAGTAACCAACCAGTAGGACTGTAGGTATTATTTATAGTGGCACAGAATATCATAAACTAACCTGAAAAAAACATCATCTACATGCTGATATCACCAAAATTACTCTGTTATTTCGAATGACTTTAAAGGCTATCCTAGCGGTGACTGAAGTAGTCAATTATATTTCTCTACATCATCTGAAAAGATGGCTTTTCATGGAACAGAGGAACACGATTGGTTACTTAAGCAGTTGTTGGGGTACCATAAAGAGTCATTAACTTTGACTGAACTGACCTAGTCACAGGATATTTTATAGAATTATGGTGCGCCATCTGTTTTCTAACAAAAAACTGCTTGTACCATTGACTACTACCAGTTATGCTAGAGTTATTTCAAAAAGAAACTAAATTCAGTACTGGTAGTTATACAACCTAGAACCCGATCACAGGTGAATTTTCTTTAGATCTAGAATATGCAGATGACATAGTCAGTCCTGTTAGGTGAAGACGCTGACTGATGAGATGCAGAGTCTTCTCAACACTTTCAGTGGCAATTTGAGAATCTTTGGGATGCGATTTTCACCACACAAATGCAAATTTTTGCTCCAGGACTCGTCTTCAGCGGTACCCCACCGCGGCTAACAATACAGAGTGAGTGTCGTGGTTGAGTGTGTTGACCACTTCACTTACCTGGGAAGTAGGATCAACCCTGCCGTGGTCGGTTAGTTGCCCATGAGATCTCTGCACGGATACAAAAGGCTCGATTGGCTTTTGCCAATTTGCGCCACCTATGGCACCGCCGTGATATCCAACTGTCTATTAAGGGTCGCGTGTACTGCACAGCAGTCCGCTCTGTTCTACTATATGGCTGTGAAACATGGCCATTGAAAGTGGAGGATACAAAGAGGCTTGAGGTGTTTGACCACCGTTGCCTTCGTAGTGTAGGCCGTATTCCGTGGTGTCACCACACCACGTGAGTAATGCAGAAGTTAGGTGTAGAGTTTTGGGGAGAAGAGGTAAATCAGTCGACGAGGTTGTGAACCTTCATCGACTGAGATGGTTGGGACACGTACTACGTATGCCTGCCTAGTCACCGATTGCCTCATCACACAATGTTGGCTGAGGTGGGTCCAGGCTGGAAAAAGGCTCGAGGTGGCCAGACTAAAACATGGCACCAATGTATGAAGTCTCTGACTGTTGGTTTAAGCCATGTAGGACGATGCAGACTAGGTGGTTGGGGTCGGTGGGACAAGAGGAATCAGTGGTTGGAGACCCTAGGTGATATGGGTGAGAACCGAAGTCAGTGGCGCAGATGTACACCCACACACATTATCCTCATATTGACAACGCTATATCGAATCTCACTATTTTGTCACTCCTCTTTTCTTTCTTCTCGTACTTTATATTTCTTTAGACTGCATTCACTTATCTTCATCCTTCGTCTCACTACCTTTTTACTTGATGTGCTGATATGAGGTGTGGCAACTCGGACCGTTAAGCAGTAATGCCTGGTCCTATGTTGATAATGATGATGACAACCTAGAAGGCGGATAAAAAGGAGGACATCAGTTTACTTCAACTCGGCCATATGTAGACGTCGATATAGAATTTTTTCACATATGATGAGCCCCAAACACCACAAATTAAAACTGCATAGATCAAACTAGTGTCAAAGACGCCAAGTACACTATCCTTATTCCGTTTACCTGATCCTTCAACAATATTTTGCCAGTCATCCAACAAGAACATGGCGAGACAATAGCCTCAACGAGTTTTATATCAATAAAACCCAACAGATGTTCAGTGTTTTATAATTCATTTTGGTATTACTCAGTGAAATGTATATCAAATGAGTTTATATTGTATACATTTATCGCTTCCTTCAAATATTTGAATACTATGGTAGGAAACAGGTTTAAACTGAATACGATGCTGTATTTCTTTGCATTGTCTTTAAACTGATTTGCATCGAGAGATTAGATCTCCCGAAGTGGTAATCGATGGGACCTAACAAGTTACTCAACGACAGGGTTGGATGGAAGTCCCACCATATCGCGAACTGTCAGAGACCATTAGATTTCCCACTTAATGGCTCAATAGTGACCTGCTGACAGTAGAACTTGAAGGTCATGGCTAAGATCCTTGCAAGAGCCCCAACTAGGACGAAGTAGCCACTGTCCAGTACTTCCAGGTCTACAGTCGCTTCAAACGCCACCGACTCATCCTAGCCACTTCTCCTTATACAATGTTATTGCTTGTATTATCCCATCAGTGGCGTTTGAAGTGACTGGAGGTGAGTTCGAGTCCTAGTGGAAAGAAGATCACTGACCAAGATGTGACAAGCCTTAAATAGGACGAAACATGTATCAAGCTGGATTCCACTGTTAGCCACTATTCATCGTTAATATATGTATATATAATTCCTAGACAGGCAACACCAAAAAATCCATACAGGAGCCTATATGCCAAATAGATAACAATGGACTAACATACACCTTCTAACCACATGGTCGATGGTTCGAATCCGGTCACAGTTCAAATTTTTAATCATCACCTAATATAAAATACTAGTCCATCCAATTACAGCTATCTCAAATAGTCAAATGATAAGGATAATAGTGAATAGAAAATCCCATTTAATATTATTATACAAGAAAGACTAATTTAAGGGAATCAATTCTATAATAATAATGAATAATTGTCATGTGTATTCCAGTCGTTGAATTTGTGGTGCAATATCCTCTGGCCACCAAGATGGTATATACGGAATAATCTGCAGATTTATTAACGTTTTATTATTGTTATCATCATCATCATCATCATCTATAGGTAGAGTAATAATCAGTTGTTCACTTGCTTCAGTTAAACGTATCAAAGCTATACCAGTAATTGGATATTGATGAATATTACTATTCATTTTATTAGTACTGATAATATTCAATGGATTAATGCCTCGAATCCAACCAACAGGTTTCAATTTCAATGAGACTATATTCGAGTTGTGATCGATTCGATAAATTGGTGCGTTATACAAATACCTTAATCATCATTAATAAAAATAATAATAATAATCATACTAATAATAAATAAAGTATTAATTGGATATAGTAGTCTCTTAAAGAATCTAAAATCTATCCAGATTCAACTCTATAACACTTATGTGTTATCTTATTATCTAAGAGAGAATCTTATTTGGATTATATCGCTTGGATTTATATACACAGAAGTTATAATATCATCAAATTATCATTAAAACTATCTAAGATGGTGTAGCCATAGGTTATGGAAAACTAGTATTACTGATACTGAGTGATGACTACGGTCGGATTCGAACCAGCGACCAATATTTCACCTCCCCCCTCCCCGCAGTATCAATAATACTAGTCTGCTACATGACAGCCCACAAGCTCTCATTTCCTCCTCGCACGATCTCCTCCATGTCATCCTCACCTCGGATGACCAACTCGTTGTTTCCCATAGGGGTTCCACTCGAGCAACTGGTCTGACGCGTGATGTCCACAGTCAGCCTTCTCAGTGTATGCCCAATCCATCTCCACTTCCTTACACTGCATATTTGTTCAGTGATAGGTTCTTGGTTGGTTCGTTCCCACAGCTCCTTGTTGCTTATTCTTATTATTCTGGCCATCTCATCTGATCTTCAGTAGCGAGCCAGTGTAAGCAGTTGTTGATGAATGTCTGTAGTTTATTGGAAATCCCTTTCGTAACACGCCAAGTCTCTCAACCATCACACAGAAGCACTGACTTGACTTAGTTGGTGTTGAAAATCCGCATCTTGTTCCAAATGCTGAGTACAGTCGATCTCCAAACTGGTTTCAGCCTAATGAACGCCTGTTTTGCAGTCTGCTATCATCTTCGATAGTCAAAATGATGCTCCCCATTTTAGTGAGATTTAGATAAGAAGTTCTGACTGGGGGAAGTCAGTGTGAATATGTTCAAACGATGATAGTAACACGTCACGAATTCACTTGGTAGTCAGGTAAAACCCTATTTGTGATTGAAATGAAACAAAAATCTCGTCAGCAGTCGAACTTTGTAGCTCAGTTACTAGAATATTAAGCCGGGAAACCCGGTGGTCGCTGGTTCCAATCTGGTCGTGGTGCAAATTTTCAATTCACCTTTAATCATCACCTGATATAAATAACCAAACTGTCTCGTTAGCAAGGATAGAGAGTAGTTATAGCTCAAGAGGATACTTTCATTGGTGTTGGATGGCTTAGTCGTTAACCTTTCGCTATCATCCTTTTGTTTTTAGACAAAACCATCATTAACACAACCTTCAAAAAGAAGTGACCTATAGAGCCTTAGTAGCTTATCTTGATAGCCTTTGTGTGATTCGGTGCTTCTGTTATAGCCTTTTCATAAGTGTACCAATATACACTATTCAATGATTCAACTGAATTATTAACATTCATCAACAACTAGGAAGTCAGTCGCGAAAATCAATAAACATCTCCAAGATAATGATTAGATTATTGAAGACCTCTTGGAATTTGTATAATTCACAAATCCATAAAATCTCTTCAATCTCTATTATACAGGCCAAAAGCTACAACCAATAAAGGAAGATCAGTGAACTGTTATCGATAAAATAAAATGAGCAAACTGTAAAAAAACACTACACCGAACACAATGCAGATGACATAGTCAGTCCTGTTTGGTGAAGACGTTGACTGATGAGATGCAGAGTCTTCTGAACACTTTCAGTGGCAATTTCAGAATGTTTGAAATGCGATTTTCACCACCCAAATGCAAATTTTTGCTCCACGACTCGTCTTCAGCGGTACCCCACCGCGGTTAACAATAGAGAGTGAGTGTTGTGGTTGAGTGTGTTGACCACTTCACTGACCTGCGAAGTAGGATCAACCCTGCCGTGGTCGGTTAGTTGCCCATGAGATCTCTGCACGGATACAAAAGGCCAAATTGGCTTTTGCCAATTTGCGCCACCTATGGTGCCGCCGTGATATCCAACTGTCTATTAAGGGTCGCGTGTACTGCACATCAGTCCGCTCTGTTCTACTGTATGGCTGTGAAACATGGCCATTGAAAGTGGAGGATACAAAAAGGCTTGAGGTGTTTGACCACCGTTGCCTTCGTAGTATATGCCGTATTCCGTGGTGTCACCACACCATGTGAGTAATGCAGAAGTTAGGTGTAGAGTTTTGGGGAGAAGAGGTAAATCAGTTGACGAGGTTGTGAACCTTCATCGACTGAGATGGTTGGGACACGTACTACGTATGCCTGCCTAGTCACCGATTCCCTCGTCACACAATGTTGGCTGACGTGGGTCCAGGCTGGAAAAAGGGTGGAGGTGGCTAGACTAAAACAGGGCACCAATGTATGAAGTCTCTGACTGTTGGTTTAAGCCATGTAGGACGATGCAGACTAGGTGGTTGGGGTCCACGGGATAAGAGGAGCCAGTGGTTGTAGACCCTAGGTGATATGGGTGAGAACCGAAGTCAGTGGTGCAGATGTACACCCACACACATTATCCTCATCTAAACAACACTATACCCAATCTCACCATTTTGTCACTCCTCTTTCCTTTCTTCTCGTACTTTATATTTCTTTTGACTGCATTCACTTATCTTCATCCTTCGCCTCACTACCTTTTTACTTGATGTGCTGATATGAGGTGTGGCAACTCGGACCGTTACGCAGTAATGCCTGGTCCTGTGTTGATAATGATGATGGTCGCCTGGTCTCTTTGTATCCGTCTACATGAATATAAAGTGGCAGTGAAGCGTCATGACCTATCTTTAGTCATGAATTTCACTAGGAAAATGTGAAAATTGAGACTAGACAGAGGAGATATGAAGAATACCAGGGAATTCTTAGAACCTTGGCAGAAGCAACCAATCATACACCAGATCATTAAGACAAGCCTACTAAGCCCTTTTGTAGAGAAAACCCTACAGCTGACTTCTTGGCTGAAGTTTGTACAGATGATGATACTGTGTCTAGAATGACAATGACGAAAGTTTACCAACTAGACTATCCAGCTGTTTGTCTGTCTGTCTCTCGATCGACGGTAAAACGTACTAGGAATTTTCGAACACCAACAAACCATTAATTCAATGTAATGATACCTACATCCTATGGTTGTTGATTTCATTTGTTGAAAACAACCACAATATAAAGTTAGTAACAAAGGTGAAAAAACTTTCTTGAGTCTTTATACATATTCATAATCACAAAAGTCATATACCAAGACAAACAAACATATAGTGTATAAAGGCTATCCATCAGTTTTCTTCTACATCGTGTACTCAGCATGTAGTTTCGGCGATTCCCCTTGTATTTACCCCCCAAAACTATCCATCGATTGGGTCGGTGAGATAAGCAAGTGATTTGAGAAAGCTTTACATACTGAAAATCAGTGTAATGTATCTTACTCTACAAACTGAGTGAAAAGATTACTGACCCCATGATAGAACTGGACTATCATCAAATGAGAAGAAGTGAAGTTGAATAGACAGTTGTCTATATGGCAGCTGAAACTAGACTGAAAGAAGATCAAATGAAGACAAGTAGGCAATTACTAACCTCAGAACAGAATTCTAATACATAAACTCAAATGAATCACTAAACTGAATTGATACTCACTTAGCTGCATTCATTGTTTTCATCAATACATCAGCATTATTCCCCATTGACACTATTCTAATTGGTATATATCGTCTTCGAATAACACCAGTGAAGTGTGTACGTGCTGTCAACTCTTGACCAATATAACATCCTTTTGAAAAGCTAACACCACCAGATAAGTCAGTATTTGCTTCAAATGGTAATGTATCATTTGTAATGAATTCATGAACACCTTCGGGTAGACCTAGTCGCCAACGTGCATTATGATATACTTCTATATCAAGTGGTTGTGTATTACACGATGTAAAGATATCACGTACTACAACAACAACAACAAAAAGAAATGCTAAGCATATTGTATCATATGTATATTATACAAGGGATGAGATAATGGCAGTTCAGGTGGAAAGACAGCTTAACCGACCCAGTGTTGTTAGACACCAATCTAACCTATTGCTCAAGGTGAAAAAAGGATAGAAGCGATCAAACAGGGCATAAATCTATCAAAAACCTTAGACTATTAATGATTGTAGACTTCCCGATTGAAGTTTATGCGACAAGGGAAACCAGCGATTGGAGACTATTGGTGATATGGCTCGGAATACATCACAATTCCAATTGTTATGCAGTGTATGCTGTCTACCTACCTGTCTGTCGTTAACATAACAAAAACCTTTCGAACAACTGATGAATTAAATGCATACTTGATTAATTATAAGTTGTAATCCAACTCCATCAACAAGCGTTTTGAATAGTCGGTTGGATAGGCCATAGGCCACAGGATCATATCTCAGGGCTTTTCAGGATTTTTGGATTACATATACAGCCAACGTGACCGGCTTAACGACTTTCAGTATATAGATCAAACGGTGATGCTGAAGCAATGGAGGTCCCCCTTTCATCACCAGGTTACACAGACGTTGATCTAACTGGTGGAGAATTTTTATTAGATCTAGAATATGCAGATGACATAGTCAGTCCTGTTAGGTGAAAACGCTGACTGATGAGATGCGGAGTCTTCTGAACACTTTGAGTGGCAATTTGAGAATGTTTGAAATGCGATTTTCACCACCCCAATGCAAATTTTCGCTCCAGGACTGGTCTTCAGCGGTACCTCACCGTGGTTAACAATAGAGAGTGAAGTGGTTGAGTGTGTTGACCACTTCACTGACCTGCGAAGTAGGATCAACCCTGCCGTGGTCGGTTAGTTGCCCATGAGATCTCTGCACGGATACAGAAGGCCAAATTGGCTTTTGCCAATTTGCGCCACCTATGGCACCGCCGTGATATCCAACTGTCTATTAAGGGTCGCGTGTACTGCACAGCAGTCCGCTCTGTTCTACTATATGGCTGTGAAACATGGCCATTGAAAGTGGAGGATACAAAGAGGCTTGAGGTGTTTGACCACCGTTGCCTTCGTAGTATAGGCCACCGTATTCCGTGGTGTCACCACACCTCGTGAGTAATGTAGAAGTTAGGTGTAGAGTTTTGGGGAGAAGAGGTAAATCAGTTGACGAGGTGATAAACCTTCACAGATTGAGATGGTTGGAACACGTACTACGTATGCCTGCCTAGTCACCGATTGCCTCGTCACACAATGCTGGCTGAGGTGGGTCCAGGCTGGAAAAAGGCTCGAGGTGGCCAGACTTAAACATGGCACCAATGTATGAAGTCTCTGACTGTTGGTTTAAGCCATGTGGGGAGATGCAGACTAGGTGGTTGGGGTCGGTGGGACAAGAAGAACCAGTGGTTGGAGACTGATTCTAGGTGATATGGGTGAGAACCGAAGTCAGTGGCGCAGATGTACACCCACACACATTATCCTCATCTTAACAACGCTATACCGAATCTCACCATTTTGTCACTACTCTTTCCTTTCTTCTCATACTTTATATTTCTTTAGACTGCATTCACTTATCTTCATCCTTCACCTCACTACCTTTTTACTTGATGTGCTGATATGAGGTGTGGCAACTCGGACTGTTACGCAGTAATGCCTGGTCCTATGTTGATAATGATGATGATGATGGCACCTGTCAAATTTAACATGATGCTCGACGAATGGTCTGCTACAAGTACCCCCCAGGTTTAATGATAGAGTGAAGCGGTGGAATGTCTTTACCAGTGAGACACCCGACTACTGCACTGCAGTTCATTCTATCCTGTTATATACGGCTGTACGACATGGTCCTTAAGAGTTGAGGACAGTAAGTCATTACTGAGATTTAATCATAGATGTTTTCATGGCATTTCGCGCGTTTAGTGCAATCACCGTATGAACATTGTACAGATCAGGTGAAGGGTGATAGGCAAATTCGTTGTGTTGTTAACTTTAATCGACTAAGACGGTTTGCACATGTACTGTGAACGTCGTCAAAGTCACCCCCACCCACCTCGATGTGCCATGTTAGAGGAGGTTGGCTTAGGTTGGAAGAGGGTTCAGGGCGGCCAGACCAAGACGTGGCACTACTAAATCAAGTCCTTACCACCTGGTCTGAGTCGTATGAGGAAATGTAGACTACCAGGCTAGGGTTCCCAAGATCAAAGGAGTCAGTGATTAAGGATTGATTATTGGTGACATGGCAGAAAATCGGTCAAAATGGCGCAGATGTATTCACTCCCTGACACCTTCGAAGGCTTGAATATTCACACTAATCTTCATCTTCAAACTGCTTGTTCTCTCACATCGCTTTATCTTCTTTAGTGTCACTCTTATTCGAACCACCTGTTCATTGTGAACTACTTTGAAATGTGGCAACTTGAGCCGATACACCTATGTGAAGTTTTACGTTGATTTTATCATGTCAGTCAGGTCCAAGGGTTAAATACTATCCCTTCTGAACACATTCTTGCAGACATTCAGCACAATGAATAGTGGCAACAATTCAACTATAGACTGGAAAAGATTCCATCCAATGAGCGAGACAAATGGTGGGCAACAAAAGCGCAATAGATGAAAAAGGCTGTGACAATAGGTAACAGTAAACCATATATTGAGACTGACTGAAGAAACTACCATAAAAAATCAACTGTTAGTAAGATCATAGTGGAGAAGAGTGAATCTGTGATTCATTCAGTCAGATGCTGAGAAAGACCCTCCAAATCTTGCAGAAGTCGAGGAGGTTGTAATCAAACTGAAGTAAGAAAGAGCAGGAAGAGTAGAGGATTATTGGTTACACCCACCGATGTTAACTAGTGTATAACAATCAGATATGATCACTTTTATATAACTAGTCTCAAGCATTGGTTATCATAATTTTCAAAATAAGACAGAAATCTTCTTGAAATCAATCTGACGAGTATAATGTCTAAGATTCCAGTTTCCATAAACATTAAACGCCTAAATGAAGCTCGAGGAATAGTAAATCTAAGAAAATCACAGAGGTTTCAAAATTAGTTGTGGATCAATCGACTAACTTCTTCATTCTTCCTTCAAATCTTAGAATAATATAGACAATTGTCTATTCAACGTGAAGGAATCAATCGACTTCATCGCTTTCACCACCTTGTTGACAGCTTTATGTTTAAGTTGACTAAATAAGTAGAATAGGGATTATGTTATATACACGCTTAGTTATCAGTAGCCCAATCATTGAACAATCTTACATGAAGTAGAGTATTGAAGGTAAGAAAAAGGATTAAAGGTGATCAAGAGAATATTAGTTACCATTTGTATTACTTCTAGATAATATACGTCCAGACCAACCAGATATCCCTCTAGGATCTGATGCATAAAATATTACTTGTTGTTGATCGTTGAAATTCAATAAATTATTATTAACTGGTAACCATGCTTGTGAATTATTCAATTGATTCGATTGAATTGATGATGTAGGCATAGCAATCCATGGGCATAATTGTAAACTGGTATCAATTTTCACCTACAGTATAAACCAGCAGAGTGTTGATATAATAATAACAATAATAAATAAGACAATAATGATGATAATAATAATAACTGAAACGTTTTTTACAAAAGGTTTGTGGGTTTCAGGTTGATATTCATTATGGAGGAACATTGGAGAGTAGCTGTTTCGTTCTAGTATGCGACTCTGGCATGAATCGAAACCACGACCTTTAAGTTCTACGGCCAACACATTACCATTAAGCCAGTGGGTCAGAATCCAATGCTCCATAGTTTCCTACTCCGGTCAGTACACGATATACTGCGATCTCTATTCAATACCGTCGTTGAGTAATTGTCCTCATGTTCGACTCGGTTAGCCCCACCAGTCACGACTTCACCTTGGAACTTCGGGAATCGCCTCTCGAAGCTCATCACCAATAAGAACTATAGTGATTTAGTGTAGAGGTTTGTAATGAGTTATTGATTGACTTCAGGTTGGTATTCATCGTGGACTAACTAACATCAGTTGTAGAATTGATGGAATACTGGGAGCACTGGACAGCCGTTTCGTATCCGTTGGTGACCAACTTTAAGAGGTGATGGTTAAAGTTCCAATCAAAAATTGTGACCAGTAGGGTCAATCAAGTTGGATGTGAAGACAACGACAGCATTGGATGCAGGTCACTCCATATCGTAAACTGACAGAAGTAGGGAACTGTGGATCACTGGATTCTGAGCCAGTGGCTCAATAGTAACGTGATGGCGACGGGACCCGAAGGTCGCAGGTTCGATCCCCGCAGAGTTATGTGTGAGCACTGCTGAGGAGTCTAACACTAAGACGAGACGGCTGCCGCTCAGTGCTCCCAGTATTCCATTGATTGTGCAACTGATGTTAGTCAGTCCATGATGAATACCAACCTGAAACAATCTTCACTATAGTGAACAGATATGCTCAGGATGAACACTTAAGTTGATTGAAGCCGCTTGGGATAGAGTTCTATGTAATAGGTTATGATAAAGACTTATAGCGTGAAGGTTATTTTGATTGCCTATGTCAATGTAGGCAGAACAACGTTTGATGTTAAGATCTATCTAATGAAGCCGATGAGCTACATCTCCTTGACATATTCACGAAATATTTCATACCTGAATTATGTCTATCCTGATGATAAGTACTTTCATCCTTTCGACTAAGTCAAAGAATGTTTCAATCAATACAGAGGGATTAGTTTATAGTCTATTCAATGGAATTATAACTCAGTGGTCTAGACACTCAGCATTCAACTGACGAGTCATGGGTTGGATCCTAGTCTCACACCTACTAACATCTTTTTACACCCCTTTACACATGAACGTTGCATTATATGCTAGAAAAAAAACATCACTTACTTACAACACTATGGTAGATTAAGCTTTAGAGAAGTATCAGATTTCTCATCACAAATTACAATACAATAACAAAAGGGGGAATAGTTTACAAGCAATGATTATGATCACACAATATATATATATATATATATATATATATATATATATATATATATATATATATATATAGTGGATATTGAAGGGGAAAAAATGCATAACCTACTCTTCCACGTAAATTATATCGTGATAAATGTTTGACAAGATCATCAGTATAGACATGATCAACTTCAATGAGATAATTCGATTGATAAGTTGATGATAAACGATTTGTATGATAGATGAATGCATCAGTTAAAACTCTTCCCTAGAATAAAAGAAAGCAGAGTAAAGTCATATTATTTTAACAGAAGAATATGAAGAAGAAGAAGAAGAAGAAGAAGGAGAAGAAGAAGGAGAAACAACAATTAACAGAATATACCTTGGAATTTAAGAAAAGGGAATACATGAAAGAATTCGGTTGACTGATACACTTGACATCATTACTGATAAGACCTTGTAGAAATGTAACCATTGATTCACCACCATGTAGACATATCAAACTTTTCTCTTTCAATTGACCAATACTTAATAGGCATTTACCTATTCTCATAAGATGATGTTTACAAAAGATGTTAGAGAATAAGATGGTGAACATAATGCACAATTGGAGATAGTGAAACAATAGCCAACCTAAATAGAATGAAGTAAACAAGGAGATGATTTTCAATTTTATTAAATTTTTCACAATAAATAAAGTCAATCATAAAAACAATGATTTATATAAAACAAATATGAAAAAAACACGATCTCAGTAATACTCATCAGCTGGATGATACTCTACATACTTGATTGTATATACCGTTAAGCAATGGAAAAGAGCATATATACATATATAATGTAGACTGAGAGAGATTTAGGTGTAACAACATAGAAGTGAATAGTTTTTACAGGTCAAACTTGAATGGGTTAGAGGAGGCTAGACAGTTTACGGTAGAACTCGTCCTTCACTTCATTCGAACTACAATCAGTGGGTGTGTAAGCAGAGATTACAAAGAGACAACAGCGAGTCTCCCTATTCCTTTTAATTCTCACTGTCCCATTCAGTCAGATGGCACAGAGGCGACTATCAACTGGGATCCAGTCTAGTAGTGAGTTTTCTGCCCTAGTGCTTAGGCTATGCCTACACCTGCAAGACTACGAGAGCTAACTATCGAATCTCCAGAAACTCGAAGGGTGAATTTTGTGGATTCACCAGATTGCCCAGGAGAAGTCACGTGAATAACCGCACTTCGGTCCTGTATGCGTGTTTCACAAATACAGCACACATCCATGGCCCGAGTTGCTAGAGTCGTTACCAACGAAGCCTGTTGACCAACTTGATGGAGGGTGAGAATATTTAAGGCCCCAACATGTAATTTAGAGAGTGGTTTAAGGAGACCAAGGATGCTGTTCTGTGTATTCACATTGTTGTCGAAGGCTACAGAGATACAAGAAATTGAAGATGATGTAGTATCGTTAGTTGAGAGACGTGAAGGAAGAAGGTAATGATGGGGCAAGTGGATAGCAGTCAGAAGAAACTTGAATGCTGATCGAGTTGTGAGAGCAGTTGACACTTCCCGGCTGCCCACACCGTGAAAGGTTATTTCTTCTTAAGGTACCTGAAAGAGATTTGTGTGACCGCAGAGCCCATCGGACATCTGCTTGAGGCCTGTCACACCCAGCCTTTTGAGTATGATTATTTTGAACTTTTGTATTTTTGGAGCCGGATGATCGAAAGGAAATGACAAGTGAACCAACACCGCCGGGTACCCTTTCTTCACCAGCACGCTTTTCAAAGTCCCTATTTCGTAGTCTAGTGTGCTGTGGGAACAAATTTTCCTGGCTCTGTTACACAGCATTCTAACTACATTCAATTTATATTGGATCGAAACAAAGCTCCTAAAATGAAGGTATTGTCCTGTCCAAGAAGGTTTCCTATAGATGGACCTTTATATAGATCCATCGATTCTTTTCACTAATGAGACATCTAAGAAACTAATCATATTATTTTTCTCATGCTCAATCGTAAAGGTCAGGTTTGGGTGACATGAATTGAAGCTCTTCAGTAGTGCTTCTGCCTCCGCTTTACTATTGCATACAATGAATATATCGTCCATATAGCGCTGCTACAGTTGCGTCTGACCAATGAGGCGCTTCAAGCTACTATTTTCCAGACTGGATAGAGATAAATCAGCGAAAAGAGGACCAGAGGGCTTCCATTGCGACTCCATCGGTTTGGCGGAATAACTGTCCATTGAACTGGAACTGGATGTTCTTGGTGCATAGATTTAGAAGCTTTCTCAACTCACTTGTTGGGATAGGGATATTACCAGCTTCTCGACAGATAAACTCAATGGTTTCATCAACTGGTACATTTGTGAAGAGAGATACAACATCAAATGAAACAAGATGTTTACCAGTGCTATTGAAATCTGTGAGGTTTCGAACAAATTGGAAGGTATCAGAGACAGTATGTTCTCCCAGACGTTTGTGTAATGGTTCGAGAAATTCGCATAACTACTGGGCTACTTTGTGAAATGGTGAATTTATCATTGATAATATCGGCCTTAAAGGCACACCTGGCTTATGTATTTTCCCTCGCCCACATAACTTTGGGATCTGTGATCCAATTGGTTTAATGCTTTTAAATGTGGTTTCGTCTATGTATTTAGCTTTGAGGAGATGCTTCAGTTGCTGTACCATCAGCTTTTCAATACATGATGTTTGGTCTTTAACGTTACTATCCAATATGAATTTCGAGTTGTCAGAGAGAATTTCGTGCATCTTTGTAACATAGTCTGTTTTGTTTATAAGAGTTACATATTCTCTCTTATTAGAACTGAGAATAACGAGATTTTTGTTTTCTCGAAGCTCACGTAAGGATCTCCAGTATTCTTTAGAAATAATTCCTTTTTTGGCTAGAAGACATTGTTCGGAATCGGTATACAGTATCTACCATCTTGGATTTGAACCAACTTTCATCGTTTTTCGAAACAGCACGAAAACTCCTGAGTTGATCATATAAGTTGTTAAACTGGGCTTCAACTTCAATTTGTCGTATATTCTTTGCCAGCAAACAGAATTTAAACTTCATAGATAATATTTCAGATTGGATTTTAGTTAGAAAGACATCAGAGAAATTGTGAAAATAATCTTTCGGATTGTATGGAAATATATCATTTGAAGGATTAGGAAATAATGATTTTTGTAAAGTTCTCTTTTGAGATAACATATGAATGGTAGATCATTTTGGACATTTAGTAGTTTGCTGATACTTAAACACAAATTATTGATTACGTTTATGGCGGACCCTATATGTGACTCAGTCAGGCGACATAGATTAGGGTCTCAAATTGTCTTTCCTTAGAATGTACCTGCGGAAGCAAATACATTGGTCGTACGGAGAGGCGTCTGTCCACCCGAATGGTTGAGCACATACCGAAAAGAAGACCCCGAGGAGCTCGATAACGAAGCACCTAATGGACTATGGACATGATATAAGTCCTTTAAGGTTATCACCAGTAGACAACAAAATAAGAAGTTGATTGGATATGTAGAAGCCTGCACGATTCAGGTTGTCAAACCAAACCTTTGCATTCAGAAGGAAATGGTAGTCAGCTTGAATCTGCCATGGTAATAATTACAACATTGTCTCCGATCATATTTAATCTTTCTTGTTTTACTCTTCACTATTAAATATCACGTGTCTTATATTTTTGTTTTCCTTCCCTGATTTACTCCGTCTAATTAACCTTATTCCTATTGCCAATGTTATCAGTATTATTCATTTCAATACACATCTGTGGTCAAACATTTGTAAACGTTTAATGCCAGGTCATAAACGAAATAAACCGCTGAATGAATCAACGCGTAATACTATACTCCTAGTTCACTTAATTAGCCGATTCAGTGAAAGTACCAGGCATGGGGCTGTAACAACTACTGAAGGAAGGAAGTTCCACAGTTTACAAGCACAGATTTTGTACGTGCTCTTCAGGCTCCATTCTTAACGGGCGACCCCTAAGGTAGCGTTTCCGATTGAAGTTTAGAAGAGATCCGTTAGGATGAAGGGATTATGGGTGATGCAGTACATCATGATCATATCCCCTGTGATTCTCCGGTATTCTACTGGATGCAGCTTAAGAGCAACTAAGTGGCCTGGGTAAGGTTTGTACCGTGACCCAACCACTTTCTTGATAGCTCTTCTCTGTACCCGTTCTAGAATGGCAATGTCTTTCAAGCATGGGAACATCACAAGCGACTTTTCCTCTAGATGAGGGCGAATGTACAGAGAATACACTGTGGTGAAAAAAGGAGTTAGACTTCCTAAAGTTAGCGAAAGAAACCCCAAGACTCTGTAAGCCTTGTTGGCTGCAAGGTGACAGTTGACTTAAGCTCCTAGTGTGTTACTTAATGTAACTCCCAGATCTTGTTCCATGTTAGAGAGACAGATATTTATTTCACCCAGAGAGCAAGAACTGGGACTGCTTTTATATTTGTCAACTATCATTATCCTACACTTCTTCGAGTTGAGAGGAAGCAGGTTTTCTGTATTCCAATTAAGGATTTTTGTAAGGTCCTCCTGGAAGACTGAAATATCCGTTGGCACCTGGATTTTCCTTCAGATCATCGGCATATAATAGTGAATGAGAATTAAGGACCTCTTGTAGGTCATTGATAGGAGCAAGAAACAGTAGTGGGCCCAGTATAGAACTTTGAGGCACACCACTCGGCATCTGGAACCGATTAGATAGAGAGGAGCCAACTCTAACTGACTGCACCCTGGTGTGCAGATAATCTCTATTCCTGGAGACTTATTCGGGTTCAAATTCTTTAGTATTTCCATAATTATAGAAGGTTCAAACTCTATATGGCTTAACCCTTATGTAATACGGGTCTCCACACATCCATGGTTATCCCTCCCAACTGACAGAAGTTATTTTGGAATTCATGAGCTAGTAAATTTACCAGCTTGGAGATAGTGTAGAGAATCTCTAAACCACTGGGGTCCCGTATACTAAGTGAACTGTTACTTATGTTTCGTCAGCGAATACAATGGTCCCACGATTCCCCTCCAGGGTTCTACATAGTTGTCTGGTAGTCTAGTCTGTCATTTTTGATTCTTATTGTACATCTTTTGCGGATATTTTTGTAATTCAACTAGTCAATAGAGCTATTACTGATCCTCCATTAATTCCAATTATCAATGGAGTGGCTCAAGGACGGCGAAATTAAAAACTTCTGAAGTTCTTAATGGAACATAGGGCTTCACTAGCACGTCTCCAATGCGCTCTCTCCTCTGAAATCTTTTCAACCTGGCTCCACGACAGTCCACAAGCTCTCATTTCTTTCTCGCATGATCTCCTCCATGTCACCCTCACCTCGGACGACCAACTCGTCGCTTCCCATCTGGGTTCCACTCGAGCAACTGGCCTGACGCATGATGTCCCCAGTCGGCCTTCTCAGTGTATGCCCAATCCATCTGCACTTCCTTCCAGCGCATATTTGTTGGGCGATAGATTCTTGGTTGGTTCGTTACCAGACAGCCAGTTCCTTGTTGCTCATTCTTTCTGGCTATCTCAGCTTCAGCAACCAGCGTAGGCAGTTGTTGATGGATGATACTTAGTCATAATTAGGATAAGCAACTTAGT